TCTGGGTTATGAATGTTCTTGGAATCTCCATTGATTTAGCGGCTACTCCATTATTTAGCTTACAAAACAGTTCAAAACTAATTTTTTTTTTTTCTTAGATGTAACAGGTTTTATCCTCCTGTGTTTGTGACATAAGAGGACTGGAAAGGAGAACTGCCACTTTTGTTACAGTGTGGCCCTGACCCCCAGGCAGTGGAGCCTGAGAGAGGCTGCTTGTCTTTAATTAGGTTTTACTGTTGAGAGGAGAAAACGATTTAGCATGGAAAAACTAGGAGCTCGCTATGCTTGCTCCTGGAGCAGGGACTAATTGAACCCACAGGCAGGAGAACAGCCTGAGGAGTCTGTGTCCCAAACACTAAGATGGCAAGGGAGGGGCCTTACCCTCCTAGACTGCCAGCATCCCTTACTGTGTTGACTCAGTGTCCTGGCCTCTGGCAATGACACTGAGGCTGCAAAGCAAGGTGTGCTGTCCCTCTCCCCTGTACTTACCTCACTTGTTAGGCCACGCCCACTTAATTCGTCCATGGCATTAGCCCAGCTCTGTCTGAATGTTCTGAGAATTCTGTCCTACTGTTTTGTATATGGAGTTCTATCAGCTTTATATTGTGAGATTCTGACACTAGATGTAGATATTTCTCTGGAGCCGGAAAGAATGGTCTCTGTACCTCATGCCTGTCTGATGGTGTTCAGTGGGCTCTTCCCCTGGAGGGTGGATATCTTGGAACATGGGTTAGAATAAGTAGCCTTGTTGTCGTGTTTCTGGTTTCTCTTCCTCCTTTTGTGTAAATATTGTCCTTCTATATTCCCACCTATTGCGTGGCATATGCCACTTACCAAGCTAACCTTGATATGGACAAATACCACCTTTCCAAACTCTGAAAGGCAATTTGCCACCCTTGAAGTCTCTGTTCTCTGTGCTCTTCTAAATAGCTTTATCATGTGTGCTTTGTGAAGACCACGTTTCAATACTGGGGCATTAAAACTTGAGTTGGGCACTGCCAGAAGGGTCATTTTGAAACAAGTCAAGGAAATGAAGTGTTTGTGCTGCTCTTCATTCCCGCTTACACCCTTAAATCCCCTGTAGTAGGTGAGGGTGAGGGTTGTGGGGAAGAAATAAGAAGCTATGTGAAGTTCTGGTGACAAGGACTTGGAGAATATTTGGCAAATAAAATGACTCTCTCAGAAAGTCTCTGGTTCTCTTTGCTGCCGCTCTGCTCTTGGACCCCTTGCTGACACATAGGACTCAAGACGGCCAAGAACCAGGGGAGTTCCAGGTCATCTCAGCGTTCCTCGGCTCCTGAAACCTGCTGGTCTCTGTGATTGTGATAAAGAGAGCTGGTGGGGATGTGGCCTGTCTTCTGTGGGCCTTCTGCAGTCAGCCATTTCCTCCCCAGATCCCGGAATCAACAAGACTTGTATAGACCGTCCTGTTGATACTACTCAGTTTTTAAAATTCATTAGAATGATGTAAACAAGGGTGGCAGTATTTGATACATATAGGATATTAAACTGTGTGTGTGTGTGTGTGTCTGTGTGTGTAATGGATAAAATTACTTTTAAATTGACTTGGCAGTATCTGATAAAGCTGGACACAAGAGTAAAATCCCCCAGGTGTGTGCAGAGGGACTTCTCTTGCTCACCTGTGTAGGAGACTTGCATGAGAAAGACAAGATGCCTGACATGTCCATCAGGGACTACCACCTGTCCACCAAAATCTGTTCTCATCTTCCAGAATCGTAGGCCAAAAGGACACATGGCTAGACTCCATTTCCTAGCTGTTGTCCTTTCTGCCCTCCGTATGGCAAGTGAACAGCCAGCTAATGTCTCTGCTGGAGTCTGCAGAAGTGATGTGTGCTTCGGAGACTAGGTAAGAGGAGAGGGCTATAGCTCTGTGACTTGTACACAGGCTTGTACACAGGCCTGTGTTTGGCCCCTAGCACTGGGGTCAACATTATCTTCATTCACTCCTCTGCTTCCTGGTGCCAGGAGACAAGCTTTTCTGGTCTGCCACTCCCTGCATGTCTGATAGACTAACATATCCAAAAGTGTGACTGAATAAATTCCCCTCTTAACGGAAAAGGAAGATAGTGTGCCATGCCCTTCTTTGTACCTTGACCTGTTAGATGCAATAGAGATGATCCCTCATAGGACCGACGTGTGCAGAACAGAAGGCAGTGGGCTGAGTCAGCTCCTGAAGGGGGCCATTTGTCAAACAAGAACATCTGAGACACTTATTCTCTTTTTTAAAAATCGAATCTGGTATGTTGTTTTCCCTCCAGAGGGTGGATAAAATGTGATAGTCACACAGTGGGATACTTTCCTAGTTTGGTTTCTGTTGCCGTGCTAAACACATGACTAAGAACAACTTGGGGAGGAAAAGGTTCAGTTTATTCTACAGCTTATAGTCTTTCATGAAGGGAAGCCCGGACAAGAGCCCAAGGCAGGAACCTAATGTCAGAAGTGAAGCAAGAGGCCACTGAGGGATGTTGCTTCCTTGTTCACAGTTTGCTTAGCTTGTTTCCTTATGCAGTCCAGGACTACTTGACCAGGGGTAGCCCCACCCACAGTGGGGGTCCAACCACACCCATTTATAAGAAAATGTCCCCAAAGGCTTGCCTATAGGCTAGTCTGAAAGAGATATTTTCTCAGGTTCCCTCTTTACAGATGACCTAAGCTTGTGTCAAGTTGACAAAAACCTAACTAGCATGAATAACTATATATATTACTAAGTCTCCATCAGACATTCATGCAAAAAAATCAAGTCATTGTAAGAAAAGATTTCTGTACAACTCAGGATTCAGGATTTCTTCTTTTAACAGCAAGTGGTATTTCTAGGCCTATTGAGACACCTGGATACTGGGCATGGTAATCTATACAATACAGATTAATACGGAATGATTAAATACGTGTGTGTGTGTGTGTGTGTGTGTGTGTGTGTGTGTGTGTGTTCGGGTGCACGTGCGCTCAAGCACCACAGTGAGCATGTGGTGGTCAGAAGACAATGTATAGCTCTGCGATTGATGAGTAACTAGCTAGTACACAGGCCTGTTCTCATTCGTCAGGGTTTTACTGCTGTGGGTAGACGAAATCATGACCAAGGCAAGTCTTATAAAGGACAACATTCAGTCGGGGCTGGCTTACAGGTTCAGAGGTTCAGTCCCTTATCATCAAGGTGGGAACATGGCAGCATCCAGGCAGGCATAGTACAGGAGGAGCTGAGAGTTCTACATCTTCATCTGAAGGCTGCAAGCAGAATACTGGCTTCCAGGCAGCTAGGACAAGAGTATTAAAGCTCACACCCACAAGACCATACCTACTCCAACAAAGGTGCACCTTCCAACAGTGCCACTCCCTGGTCTAAGCATATACAAACCATCACAGTATGGGAGTCAGTTCTTACAGTCTACCATGTGATTCTAGGTATCAAAACTCAATAGTTACCAGGGCCTCAGTGATGATTGTCCTAACCTGACCAGGTGAACACTTCAGTCTGTCTGGGTGTGTCAGTCAAGACATACTTGGCTCAAGAAAACCACTAAAGAAGAGTTCTACGTGTGCAGTGCTGCAGGACAATGCTCAGTGCTGATCCCAATACTGCAATGACATCCACATACCACCAGTCCCCATGTGTGCTTTCTGAAGCCACATGTGGGTGCTGGGAACTGCACCTAGATCCTCTGCGAGAATAGCAAATGTTCTTAACCCTTCATTCATATCAATAAAAAGACATGAGTCAGGGTCTTATGTCTCCTAGTCTGGCCTTGGACTCACCATGTAGAAGAGGGTGCCCTTGAACTACTGGTCTTCCTGCCCCCCACCTCCAGAGTGCTGGGATTACAGTATGTGCTACCACTCTGTTGGTGCTGGAGATTGAACTCAGTACTCTACACACCAGTAGGCACTCTGACAGCTGAACTACACTCTCAGCCTCTCTCATTCATTTAAACAAATTCTCTCTCTCTCTCTCTCTCTCTCTCTCTCTCTCT